CCCCTGGCGAAACCAGAACATCCTCTTCACTTGGGCGGCTTGCACACCGAAGCTTGCGCTTGCCACTGAAATGGGCCTGGCACGTCTGAGGGTAACCCTTGAAAGGGCTGCTTTAAAGGGACGCCAAAAGGAAAAGCCGCCACTTTGGAGTTCTCCTTCCTAGAAGGATAGGCGTGATTCAAAGGAATCCGCAAGGGACCTCACGGGAGGAATCGAAAACCGGGAGCCGAAGAATCATGTTTTTGGTTTGGTCTTACTTAATTGGCACCCCCCCCAAAAAATGAAGTCGGTGTGGCCTTTTTCAGTGTCCCTTTCAGTTTTTTTTAGACCACCCCAAACGAGGGTACCAAGCCTCAAACAATCACAGATCCATCCTTTTGGAGAGTCTTGGAAGCCCCATCGGTGCTCGGCTCACTGCCGAATCGATCCCACTTAATCTAGGTCTTCCAGTAGAGAGGTTGGAAATCGGGTACCTTATTTTTTTCTGTAGTCTATTTTGGTAGGGGAACCCTCCCCCAAAAAAGGGGTTAAGAAGGGTACTACTGGGGGACCTAGTAATGCTCAAGTGCGCGTTTTTTTTTTTTTTTTTTTTTTTTTTTTTGCGGCGCCCAAACGGGTTCCTGAAAGGCCGCCTGGCTGAGAAAAAACACACACACACACACACACACACACCTGGGCGGAATATAATATTTCATCAGCCTGAAGCAAGGTGGTTGGGATGTTGGGGGGCTATTCCCACATAAACCACCATTTGGGGTGAGGTCGTCTGAGGTCGTTATAATTGACCCAGATCACATGGGTCAAAATCAACCGACAAGGATATGGACTGCAGGTTTTGGTCGACTTGTTAGACTTGTTTCCATTTACCAGGGCAAGCCATTTTGGGGTTAGCCTATTTTTGAGCCACAGCCACATGGCTATCCACTAAGAGAAAACAGAGAGGATCTTGATAGCTACCACATAGAATCTAGCCCCTTTGAGTACCTTTGCCCGAATGTTTCCCTGCGTTTTGCTGCTCCATTTGGTCCGGGGAACCCGGGAAGGCCTGTTTTTCGCATGCAAACCGCGAGGCCCCCCACCGGTGAGGAGATCATGCCCGGCCCATTGCGGAAGGGCACCTGGAGGCCCTGAATCGAGCGGTCGGGAATCGGAACGGTTCGGATGTAAAACCAACCCCCCACACCTGCCGCTTGATCTCCGTACCCTTTGGTTGATGGTTGCAAAAAAGATGTCCGAAACACGTGTCCCGGGATCTGCTGGGTTCCCATTCGACGTCGCCGATGCAAGTTCTTGGGTTCGAGGCTTGGAGCGATCCTGTTGGTTCAAATCGGCTTAGAATCGGCTACTCCCCGTGAATTCACATACATTTCACATACCACAAAAAAGGTTCCAAAGAAAATTCCTCTACATCAATTCCTTGTCTTTTTGTCAGCTCTTGAGAACATCTGCACCAAGAAACTCCTAGGGCCAAAACAAACATGATTAGTCCGCCTCAAAACGCGTTGCGCAAGTGGCAAAGGTGATGGTTCCTCTAAGTTTCCCACAGCAATGTCAAACATCCATCCCACCTGATCCCGCAGATTCAAAAATTGGTTGTGGGTCAAAACCTAAAGTGCCTTTTTGGGGATGGGTCCCACTCCACTGTTTGCTTTCTAGAAGGCTTTCTGGGTGTTCACCGGGGCACCGGGGATTACAATTTGATCGATTCCTCTTCGATGGGTTAGATTCTGCTAACTCAGCTAGACCTCTGGGCAACGGGAAGAAACTTCTTCTGCACGGAGCCTGGAAAGAACTTAAATTTGTACCATCGGAAGGGGAGACAACTTCATGAAGGGCACGCTGGTTTCAGGTGAGCAAATGATTTTGTGCCAGAATCTCGGCTACGGATCGCAGTCTCAAAGTCGATGGCTCAACTCACGACTTAGAATCCATCGTCACTCAGCATGAGGTAAAACTGAAAATCACTTGCCAACTTGCACATACAGCAAAGTTCTACGCCGTTGGCAATTACTCCGCTGCAGATTGACATGGTACTAGTACCCAACAAACCATTGAGAGTCTCCGTTTGGGGAAAGGACGGACCCCCTTTCGGGGTTGCGCAGCCGTGAAACGCTTAATGTGGTCTAACAAACGTTGTGTAGGATGATACGGAATTCGGCGAGGTTCGGCGAGATGCGTCGGCGCTGCGTCCGTGCGTCCTACGTCATGCGTCGGCCATGCGCCAGCGCTGCGTCAATTGTAGCGAGTACTGCGCGGCGTGATGCGGCGTGATGCGTCCCACGTCGCGCGTCGCCGATGCGTGCAGACGCGCCCAATGCTGCATCTTGCTGCAAAGTGCCTCCCGCTAGACCGCGTTAGATTGACCACGTTAGGTGTTTGCTTTGCAGGGGAGTACAGTGCATAAAGTCAATCGCAGATGACAATGACCCTAGTCTCTGACTTGTACCACCCTGAGAAACTGTCCAAAGTGAGTCCAAGCTAGATGGGGCTGCCTCACATTTGCTCGTTGCTCGTTGTTCTTTCGGGGGATAAACCCCAGCTCGGATCTCCTTGCCGTGTTTGGGCCCGTCTTTGCCACAATGGAAGTGGACAGGGCCCTCTTAAAAATGACTGTCGGCAAGAACCCTTCTTTCAGCTTTCATAATTGGAGAGAGGGTACAATCCCTGAGACCTTAAAACCAAAGTCGAGAAGGGAGAGCTCTACGCATCGAGCCCCCATTGGGTTAACCTTAAAGGGAAAGCAAAGGATACCAACTATCTGGAGGAAAGTGTTTACCACACCTCACTATTTCCACCAAGGCCGCTGCCTCTCCGCGGGACAAGGCAGCCATGGGTAGAGTGGGCGCTGCGCGCGCCCCATTTGCCTGGAAAACATCCTTGGGGAATCTCACTGAACGTTCCGGTTCGTTGATCCCTTGCCTTTGACCTGCCTCAGAAAGTCTATGATTCGCCTCTTGACGACGGATTTTGCCCTTCGACCTGCTAGAGAGAACAACGGCAAGCTGTCTATCATTGAATTACAACCATCTGGGCTGAGGCCAAGGCTCCCACAAAGAGCATGTGTAGGATACCCCAGAGAGGGTACCCTTACAAAACCAAGAACCATGTGGAAGGGTGCGTGGAAGATCAGCTTTCGCAAGGATCCCCTGTTTCGTGGAGGGTACTCTAGCTTGGGATGGCGAAGGGCATTCGGTGGCGCTTGAATGAACTGAAAGTGTGCAAGCACAGCCCATTTGGCAGTTTGGGTGGGGGGTGGTGCCTCCGGCGTCATCAGAAAAAAGGTGCCAGGCAAGAACGTTCAACCAACAAACTTCATTTGGCTGTGGGTCAAAAATAGGTCCCAAATGGCTTGCCCCGGTAAGTGGTAACATGGACCAAAACCTGCGGTCCCCTGGTGGTTTAATTTTGACCCATACTCATGTGGGGTGTCCCACACTCAAAAAACTTAAAAAAAACATACTTGAGAGCTGACCTGCAACTGGGCACCCCTTCCCCCGAAATTCCCTCCCGAAAGGCACGGAACTCTTGGCTTGGACGACTCCCCATGAAGCAGCGGGAGAGGTCAACCGCTTGAGTCTGGAAGGCCACCAAGGTGTACACACAATTGTCATGTCGCGCGGACTCACATGCTATGATTGGCAACCCCCCTCCGACTCAAAGCACGGCGCCATGAAAAAGACGCCCGCCACACATTTCCCGGGAAAAGTCCCGAGCCACCTGTCTCAATCCAATTCGCCTATGCCCACGCGCCTCCTTGTCAGCCTGACGCAGCTGAGGGCTGAGAGGGTTGCCATTCGCCAACAGGTCCCAGCGATTGTTCCGGACTAAAACCAATCAACACATGGCCGTGGGTCAAAACAAATGGGATCTCATTTTCGGGTAGGTGCACCACCCATTTTAGTCTATTTTAGTGGGCGGGTACGGGATTTTGACCCATGGCCACATTGCGCTACCAGCACCCAGCACCCTCCGAGGGTGGTCGGTTTGTACCTGAAGCGCCCTTGAGCCATTTTGGGCACCAATTGACAACCCTTGGAGGGTGCTGGTATGCAGCACTTGGACCTTATTCAGTATGTTACCCAAAAAATGTCGCTCAAGCAGTCGCTCATATGTCTGCTCAAGCAGTGCCAGCAACAAACACGTCGTAAGGATCTTGGTCCTGCGTCAAGTGCAGCATAGACTTGCCTGCTTTACTTGCACGACGACTAGCGGACAGCAACTCCTCAAAGAGCAACTTGAGTTAGCTAAATGAACATGAAACATGGAAGTGCACCGGCCATTGGAAAACCACTTCTAATTGGGCTTCCTCTTCACCAGGCCATGCGAATGAGGGGCTAAGGTTTTGGAGAAAGTGGGAAAGATGTGGTTGAATCGGAAGAGAGGTACAAACAGCAAGCTACGTCAGTTTGAATGTCTAAATGCCTTGCCTGGATTTCTCCACCATCCGAGGGTTTGCCCAAGCCCCCATCTCGGGAATAAATGCACTCCCACAGCTGCCCTTTTGGTGTCTCAAACACTTGCAACAGCCAACCTGAAAATTGTTTTGTGTTCTCCCCCATTTTCTGAACCCCGCCAAGCCTTCAACGAAGGCTTACGTCAACAGAAGTTTCGGCCATAGGAAGAGCGCTCAACGGTCCCCGTGAGCCACGTGAGCCACGCGAGATAGGCCACGGATAGGCCACGCCTTGAGCTGCGCCAGGCGGCTGGCTTTGCCGGGCCCGTTGGGCCCCGTGGCTGCCACCGCCGCGGCCCGCCACAGCGCCTGCCAGAGATGCCCATGCTTCACCCCTCAGATCCCGACGGGGCCCGTCCCTGTGCTCCGGGCCAAAAGACTGACATGAGCCCCCAAGAAGTACAGGTTAGCATGATCCAGCTCATACCTACTGTAAGTACAAACTGTGGCCTTGCCATTTTCGGGAGGAGCCCTGAAACAGCTTTCCGAGTCCTTCGCTTTTCCCAGCTATCTGGCTATCTGCACAAAATACTGGGGCAGGCTGCCTTCATAGAGCCGCGTCAAAGCAGCGCTGGCATGAGTCCAAAGACACATTGTACTTCAGCAAGTTTGCCTTGAAGATTCGCAGAGCCTCCTGATACACCATGCCGTCCAGCTCATCGCGATAGCCCTGCAGCTGCGTTGTGTTGTAGAGCTTCGCGGTGTTGATCCCTGGCCTGACATTCTCGAAGTCCAGCGCACGGCAGCGGGTGCCGAACATCGCGTGGAAAAGGCAAATGGACAAATCCCATTCTTCGTGGATACCGACAAAGGCAAAACCCGACACTCGGCGGACGGCCTGCTCTGCCATGGCCCGAGTACGCGCAGGCAGCTCAGGCAGCAGCGGCAGCATGTGGTCCCCGTCCCGGCCCTCACCAGTGAGTTGGTATGTGACGGTGCCCTCAAAAAGCTCTGCAAAGACTGGCAGCGCTGGCTTCGGTGGAGCGAGTCCCTTGCAAACCGGTCTCAACTCGGACCAGTTGTGGAACTCGTCATAGTATGCGGAGAGGAGGCGCTGCTCAGGCTGCCGAAACATGGCCACCCAATGGCCTTGCAGCTCCGCATATTGGCGGCCGATGCACTCGTGCACACTTGGCTGGCATCGCAAATGCTTGGTGTCGCAAATCTGCGAGCAACCCGTGTTGAACTTCTGGAGGAAGCAGTCCCCTAAGCTGTCTTCACTGACAAACAGGTCTGGGTCTACTTGGCAGAACCCAGGCTCGTGGATCAACAGGTTCACAAGGGAGCTGCCGCACTTCGGAAAGTGGACCCAGGCCAGAGGCAAAGGTTTCCCATCGCGCACATCCAGCCTCCGCTGCAACAGCGACAGATCCAGCTCCGACGGCTCCGACTCAAACTCCGCCGCTGCAAGGAAGAAAAGCGACCACCAAGCGACCACCATGCCGCTCATGGATGCCTCATCGTTTCGGTTTGGGATGGAACTTGCGGCACGGAAAATTGATCTCATGGGCCCAGGCAAGACCAAGCTACACTTTACTGGGGCTCACCCGTCTCGCGACATGCAAGAGGCATCTTATGTGCGGCAGGCCTCAAAGGTGCTAAAAGCCGAGGGGGATGAGCTTTTGGGAGCTTTACCTTCCGCGCTCGGCCCGCTTCACAGCCATTCTTGTTGGGACACCTTTTTGAAGGAGGCACCACGTGCGAGGGCTGCCAAGTTCCTGCCGCCGTAACTTGATGGGTCTGAAAGGTCGCACCCTCCAACTCGCGGGAAGGAAGCGATTTGTTTTTGGCCCAACCATCGATGGCGGTCCCCTTGCTTTGCCCGGGGGATCTCCTTAGAAACTCCCAGGACATCCCAAATCTTCTCAAGTGCCCGTCGCTCGGGCAAGCGCCTTGACCTCGTCCTTGGCCGTAAACTCCTGGAAGTTAGTGGGCGCCAAGAAACACAGCGCTTGTTTGATGCCAAAAGGAAGCAAGAGTCAACCAAATGGGTGCGAGGGTCCTAATATTTGGGCAAGCACTAAGTGACAAAGTTTGACTTCTGTCGCCAACCGCACATGATCCAGGGTGAATGGTGTCTGTCTCATGCTTTGCATCATCCATCTCCATGGTTTCTGGAGTGGCAATCGTCAAACATTGAAACAATCAAGATTAAAGCACACGGATTATTTTCTTGGGGGGCGGAAAGAACCCGCTTGTGGTTTGGGTTGAAAGGGAAACCAGAAGAAGCACCACCATTTAGGTGGGCTGCAACGTGGCCGGGGTGCAGGACTTGGGGTCGAATCACCCTGGGAGCTTTCCGGAAGCACTGGAGATCTCCTTGCTGTCACACAGAACTCGTTCCCTGTGGGCCGGGTAGGTAGTTTCTGTTGGTTCCCTTTTAGGACCATCCAAGAAGAAGGTGAGACACACCTTACAACTCACAATCAAAACCCGGTATTAAGATGGTCTACCTAGAACCGTGTAAAGAATTAAGAAGGCCGCAACTAATTCTGGCCGGGACTTTCCCTAACCTTCATCTACCCGAATCGAAATTTGAGCAAGTGGCTCTTACCGGCGTTTCGGGACCCCAAAAAACCGAACGAAGCCGTAACCTTGGGCTTCCTGAGAGGTTGGCCTTGCCGTGCAGGTGTTCGCTGAAATGACCCCCAGGCTTGGGGATCCATCTTGAGCAGGCAGGTGGGAATCCGCGGAGCGAAATTTCGCGACAGAAAGATTGAGAAAACGAAAAACATCCAAGCAACTTATTAGACATAGACATGGCCATGGGTCAAAACCGTTTTGGATCCCATTTTGGTTGGTAGGTGAATTCACCACCCATGTCAGTTTACTTTAGTGGGGATGGGGATGTTCACTGGGGGTACGGGATTCTTACCCATGGCCATATCAAAAATGCTCAGATACAGAAAGTCAACCTTGAGAGCTCCTGCGGTGCTGGAGGCTCCTCTTGCGGCATGAGATCCACCTGCACCTGTCATGGGCCGGATCTCCGTCTAGCAGGCTGTCCCCCCATATCCTCACCAAGCAGTATACATTCATAAAGGATGAGATGCAGATAAACATGATCATCTCGAACCTGATTTCCCTGAAAGGCGAGGTAGTCAGGAGGCAACCAGGGGAAGGTTCAGGATGAAGACTTTAAACAAAGATCACGTCCTGGCGGCCGCCTGTACGTTGAAGCAATCCCCTATTGCTAGGGCTCAAACAACCCGAATGGGGCTGGGGGACACTTTCATGCCAAACATAAAACAGCAAGCAGGCATTGCACACACAGAAATCACTGTGCAAAAAAGGTGCCAAGTTTCTGGTGAATCCTTCAAACTGAAGAATAACAGTTGGCCTCAGCGTGCACGTCAAAGCAAGTGCTTGACATTCTGACGTTCCCGTACTTTGTAAATTGTAGAATGCCAGTTAATATCAAAGAAGATCCCCTTCCTAGGCTGGAATTAGGACCCCAGCAAAAAGATATCTTTTTTGCCTGGTTAGTGGAAAAGAAAGGGACCCCAAAAAAACAAAAAAGCAAACAGGGGAGCTAATTCTGGGGAAACTTCAAGGTGCGCTTCTTGCGCCTAATTTGGGATAGCAGTCTCTGACCCTCAGCCCGCCTGCATGCGATCAATGTCGAAGGGGCCTCAGCTTCCAGTCGAGAAAAATCCCAGCCACTGCTACTCCAACCCTGTGCGCTGAGCCACGGCCGAAATGAACCGTTCTCTACTGGCCATGGGAAACTTGGGAAAAACCTGTGTGTTTGCGGAAAACCAGTGTTTGCGGAATTGAAAAGTCCTTCGTGTCTTAAATGGACCATAGCCACTGAATAGTTTGAGGAAACCTCATGCTCGTCAACCCTGAAGGAGAGATTGGCAATCTAAACGAGGAGGTGTCCCTGCAATCTCCGACTCAGTGCCACAAACCGCCAAAAGTATAACATCCGCTGAACAGGCACACATAAAAGCAAGTCATCCACGCCACTGGGATCCACTCCCGTGGGGATGATTAATATTTCCATTTAGGACCCCCAACCATGATCAGGGGTAACTTGTCCGATGTGAGATGTGGGCTTGTCGGCTTGTCATAGGATTATATTTGCAGGCGGTGGCTGGAAGGATGTTGGCAAACTGACGTTTCGTGAAGGATCCCACATTAAATACTCCCGGGAGGGGAGGAACAGGTACTGCTTGGACAGGATTGCTTCAAGCTAGTCAAATGAGGGTTGATCAAAAAGTCCTTCACATGGGATGACCATTGGTTGGAAAACCTCTTTGGACTGCCTTGGAACCGCCGATCCCCACATCAGAAAACAAACAGGAACTGCAAACGCCGCTTGGTGCGGCAGCCTTCCGAGAAAAAAAAAAAAAAAAACAAAAACAAAAAAACGACAGAGGTCCCGAACCCCAAAAAACAGTTTCCTCCTTTTTGTTGGTTCAAATGCTCCCCCTTTCAAACAAAATGAGCATCGGCTGAGAGTGGCCCCCAGCACCTCCGACTCGGCTTTTGGGCTCCCATTTGAGCAACATCACCCCACAAGGAAAACTCATTTTCGGCTAATTTGCTGCCAACTTCCCCCATGCCTCAGGTGGCCAGCATGGCCAACAAAAGAACACGACAGAGTTGGTCACTGTCCACGCGGAACTGAATAAAACCACAAACAACATCCACATCTGAACTACCCAGAAAACACAAACAAAAACATATGTCCAGATTCTGTTTCATGCTCATATGGTCTAAAGTATCAACATGGGTGGGTATGTGTATGTGTGTGTTGGAACACCACCATGTTGGGGGGTCCAAATCCGAAGAAAAAGAAAAGATCTTTAAAACCGCAAACGACCCCCCCCCCCAGAGCTTTGGGAGCCGCGACCCCGGAATTTTTCTCTGGCCAAGGGGGGCCCGGCTGAAGTGGATCTCCTCCCAACAGCTGGGCCCCGAGGTGTAGAGCAAGCTCCCCGTCCAGCCGTCCTAACGAAAACCAAGCCGCCCGGGACCCGCTCGCCCGTCGGCGTCTTTCGCTTCTTCGGGGCCCCAAGGTTTTGACTTTGGCCCATTGGTTGGTGCGAGTTGTTTGTCCTGATGTTGCTTATATTGGATTTATTGTTTTGGGGGGGCAGTCAGAAAATGGGGTCGTGTCCCTTACCCTTTGGCCCCTTGGGGTGGAAGGGACTTTGATGAGCAAAAAACAATGAGGCCAAGTCTACGTGCGTCCCCTGGTTGCCGGAAAATCAGCGCCCGCCCGCGAAGTCCCTCCCGGCTTGACCACAGACTGACTTCTAGATCAAGGTCCGGATCTGGCACCTTCGTTGTGATGTGCTTTGGATGGGCAAATGCCAACTGCGTCTCCTCTTCTTAGAAAAACTACTTCATCTGGGCAATCTATTGCAATTCCGCTGCTGGAAACATGGGTTAGTAAAGGATCTTCACCATGGGCCCCGGTGTCGATACAATTCGCCCAGCTTGGCTACCCTGCTGCACAGTACTTGCAGCCAGGGTTGTCCCCAGACCGGCCACATGCCCTTGGCCATCTACCAGACAATTAACAAAGCACACCCATCCCCATTGGGTCGCTCCAAGGACCGCACGAGGGTGGAAACTGTTTCCCCGGAAAAACATATATCAACCCAATACCAATTTTGCACCCTTGTGGTTTTTGTACACCCCCTTGTGATACGCAATCTTGGCCCGCATTATGGGGTACTCCAAATATCACATGTCCTTAGTCTATCCTAAAATAGGTCCTCCAGTAGAGAGGTTAGAATAAGGGTACCCTTTTTTCAAAAACTTTTTTCTGTAGTCTATGTTAGTAGGGGAACCCTCCCCCCAATAAGGGTAAAAGGGCACTACTGGGTACCTAGTAAAATATCAAGCAGCTTTGGAGGATGCCCCAGGATCGTTCCTACCCGTCCCCTTCTTTTACGGGGAATCTCCTTGCGGAGGAAGGACAGGATGTGGCGGAAGTGCTCCAGCGGCAAACGGCCCTCCGCCTGCCACAGGTGTCGCAGCCATGGAACGTGCCCTCTGTGAAATACCAAACCATACGTTCTCTGAATAAGTATACTTACTATTCCATAGTTTCCTGTTTATGATATCCCAAATGGTCCGAAGAGTGTGTAAGTTCCAAAATTATGCACCAATGGATGCTAACCGAACCCTTCCTTCATGAGAAAGCAGGCCCTGGACGGTGCGCAACCAATCTTTGACAACCAAACACCTCGGGGAACGTCGTAACGTATGCCTCTTCGCCTGTATTCGGTCCGGGCCGGGGCCTTCCATTGAAGTATTGAGTACATGCTCTTTGAGGTACCCTTTTGGGAGCTGTTTCACAGGAACAGGGGGAAAACAACCAAGCCCCTTCTGAGACAAACCCAGCTATCGACGACCAGGAATCTTCTCAAATGCTTAGCTGCGTGAGTTGGGACTTGCCAATCATGTGTGAGGCACCGGGCAGATCGCATCATGAGGTATACAAGCGCGACCTTCACCCCGTATACAAGCGCGACCTTCGGAACACGACTT